ACGCCCAGAATAGTATCCTTTAGGCCTTTTATTATAATTTTTCAATGACCTCCCAGTCAGTCCCTACGCATAAAATCGAGAAACATGCTCGCTTTAATTTTCTAGTTTTATATATTCTTTCTTTTTTGGAATGTTGAGACTTAAACGGACACAGTCAGCTATGGGACAGCGCTGACCTGGACACTTCTTTAATTGTCAGTTTGAAAAGCGTTCACCTCATCCCGAAATCAAATGTACGCGTCGGATACATCTAGAAATCTGCTTAATATCCTGCCTAGTGTTTCATTGGATCCTCTGTCTTTCACTGAAAACCTCTTTTTGAGTTTACTTTTACTCATCCTATTACATTATTTTATGATATTTGGTTAAAAACAGTAATATTCTTACAGCACTCAAGCCACTCAAGCCGTGCGGTCAAGAAAGTCAAAGCGTCTTAACTTCTTTTTGTTAGTAATTTTATTTTTTACATCACGTCGCGTCAATCTCACAACATTCACACAATTTCCAGTGTTTCGGTTTTAGACCTTTTCGGTGGGATTCTTCGTAGTCTGTCCACGTACCTTTTTTTGTACATTTCAACGAGCGGGAGAGGTGAAACGTAGGAATTTTTAGAGAGTATTTTATTGTTTAAGTACATTATATTTAGAGCAATATCGTAATGATTCTCTCCTGGAGTATTGAGGCTGAGATTAACCTCAATTTAACAAAATGAGCTGAGAACCTACCCAGGCTGAGGGTCAGTCACGAACATCTTAATTTTCCTTATTTGCTATTTTCTGTTTTTGAATGAGTAGTATAAATAAAGGCAAACTGTAGTCTAACAGATGAATTGACCAAAACAATTGGGGACATTTTTTTTCAATATTAACAATGTACTTCCCATATGCCATGTAAATTAAGAACATTTTAACAACGTTTTCAAGCCTCAAATATTGCGAAAAAATAAGAACGTGCAGCCTCAGCTCCAAAATTGGACGTTTTATTTTAAAAAAAGTGTATTCAAGAGACAATTGTTAGGGTTGCCCACCTTGAGAGGTCCAAACAAAATGGTCCTTGTATTTTTTTTTTTTTAAATTATGTGTTGTGCTGTGATCCGTTCCGGTCATTTTAAATTGTTGGTTTGCTAGACCAGCTCTTGATTGGCCAGTTATTAGCTCAATTGGTAGAGCACTGCACGAATGCACCAGTATCGCAGAGGGCGTGGGTTCCACTCCGTACAAGGAAGCTCCGGACCTTTTGGATGGTTTTTCAATCGGAAGGCACAAGAAGAAAAGTGAATCTTTCGACATTTTTGCTGCCAAGTTTTAAGGCTAAACGATGGATGTGATTTTCTGGGGGGAATCGTTCGGGTGCTGAATTTTCTCCCTTATCCTTCCAATTAATTTTAGGAGACGAGACTGCCATTTTACGTGGTCATCCGAACCAAAATTATTTGTAAACGTATTGTTTGATGTTGTTGTGACATATCCAATAAAATGTTCCTGTAATAGCATGAACCAACCATTGTTATTTTTCACCTTGATATCATTTTACGGTTCGTGATGAAACATTTTTTACCTTGATATCTGTTTACTGCCGTGATGTGACATTTTCTACCTTGATATCTTTTTACTACCGTGACATAACATTTTCTACCTTGATATCATTTTACTGCCGTGATGTGACATTTCTACCTTGATAATTTTTTACTGCCGTGATCAAACATTTTCTACCTTGATATCATTTTACTGCCGTGATGTCATATTTCTACCTTGATATCATTTTACTACCGTGATGCGATATTTTCTACCTTGATATCATTTTACTGCCGTGAACAAACATTTTCTACCTTGATATCTTTTTTCCTGCTGTGATGCAACATTTTCTACCTTGCTATATTTTTACTGCCGTGATGCGACATTTTCTACCATGATATCTTTTTACTGCCGTGATGTGACATTCTCTACCTTGACATCATTTTACTACCGTGATGCAATATTTTCTACCTTGAAATCATTTTACTGCCGTGATCAAACGTTTTCTACCTTGATATCTTTTTTTCTGCCGTGATGCAACATTTTCTACCTTGCTATATTTTTACTGCCGTGATGCGACATTTTCTACCTTGATATCATTTTACTACCGTGAAGTCACATTTCTACCTTGATATCATTTTACTGCCGTGATGCGACATTTTCTACCTTGATATCATTTGACTGCCGTGATCAAACATTTTCTACCTTTATATCTTTTTTTCTGCCGTGATGCAACATTTTCTACCTTGATTTATTTTTACTGCCGTGATGCGACAGTTTCTACCTTGATATATTTTTACTGCCATGATGCGACATTTTCTACCTTGATATCATTTTACTGCCATGATGTCACATTTCTACCTTGATATCATTTTACTGCCATGATGCGACATTTTCTACCTTGATATCATTTTACTGCCGTGATGCGACATTTTCCACCTTGATATCTTTTTACTGCCGTGATCAAACATTTTCTACCTTGATATCTTTTTTTTACTGCCGTGATGTAACATTTTCTACCTTGATATCTTTTTACTGCCGTGATGTGACATTCTCTACCTTGACATCATTTTACTGCCGTGATGGAACATTTTCTACCTTGATATCATTTTACTGCCGTGATGCGACATTTTCTACCTTGATATCTTTTTACTGCCGTGATGTGACATTCTCTACCTTGACATCATTTTACTGCCGTGATGCGATATTTTCTACCTTGATATCATTTTACTGCCGTGATGCGACATTTTCTACCTTGATATCTTTTTACTGCCGTGATGTGACATTCTCTACCTTGACGTCATTTCACTACCGTGATCAAACATTTTCTACCTTGATATCTTTTTACTGCCGTGATGTGACATTCTCTACCTTGACATCATTTCACTGCCCTGATGTGACATTCTCTACCTTGACATCATTTTACTGGCGTGATGCGATATTTTCTACCTTGATATCATTTTACTGCCGTGATGCGACGTTTTCTACCTTGATATCTTTTTACTGCCGTGATGTGACATTCTCTACCTTGACATCATTTTACTGCCATGATGCGAAATTTTCCACCTTGATATCTTTTTACTGCTGTGATCAAACATTTTCTACCTTGATATCTTTTTTTTCAGCCGTGATGCAACATTTTCTACCTTGATATCATTTTACTGCCGTGATGCAACATTTTCTACCTTGATATCATTTTACTGCTGTGATGCGACATTTTCTACCTTGATATCATTTTACTACCGTGATGCGACCTTTTCTACCCTGATATCTTTTCACTGCCATCATGTACGAGACCTTTTCTGCTTGGCTGAGCATATTTATATTGTTTTTATACGACCGTGATCAGAACTAGTTTGTCTTTATTGTAAAGAGGTGACTATAGGCTGTTCACGGTTACCTCGTATTTTTTGCTTAGAGATTGTCCACCTTGCGTATGAAAATATAATTACTGACCCTAGCGTAGGATTATGGGGTTAGGAAAAAGAGAAGATAGGCTCCCTTCAGTCTCTTGCTCCGTGCTCGTTATTGCTCGGTGTGCTTGTCGATTTTTTTTTTTTCAAAGAAGAAACAAAAAAACAATGAAGTCTGTGTAACTGCATTTTAAAAATCGTGTTTCTTGTGAGCAGTAAGAAATAAAAAGCACGAAATTTATGGAACAAATTGGAAATTAGAAAACTTATTTTAGGAAACACCAACCCTTTCTTTGGTTGAAACTTTCACGTCTAGACAGAAGAAAAAAAAAAGAGCTCGCTGTCGGGCTAGTACCGTTCAAGCCAAAAAGAGACGAGAGGACCAAAGGCCGTCACATGAGTTTGTATGTTTATTTTAAGCTTTAGACAAGATCAAGTGTCGTGTCCTTTCTTTCTTATCAGCAGGTAAGGGAAATAAAATTAATCCTTTTTGCAGATAGTATCTGGCAAGGGCAGTGGCCCTCCTTTGACACATTTTTAATGCCGTCGCCTTGCTCATGTTATTTGGAACCGGAGGTGACGTTTCTGCATGAAAAGATGTAAGGGTATGCTTGATGGAGAATTAAATCTACCTTAGAGAAAAGTTATACACTTCGTGAAAATAATTTTTGGCTTCCTTTTTAAGCTAAGTTAATCGTTAGAATAGAGCTACCATCTTTTCCTTTAGGATACCTTTGCGGGAAATATACACGCCTATCCGAGACAGCAAGAACCCTTTCTCTTTCCTGGGAGTATCCCGCCCACCCATGATCCAAGCCCCCATGCAGCACGTAAAGATTTCTCTTCTTTGTGATATCATCCCCTTCAATAAAGTCATCTTAAAAAAAATCTTATCATTAAGCTCATGAATCGACCATTGAAGGAGGAAGGAAAACTCTGGGTGCTTTCCCCTTGACCTCCTCTGGCTCTATCAAAGGTCATCTACCCTCTCAATACTCCCTCGCCTTTCTTTTGCTTCTTTAGCCGGCCAGGACCGTGAGGTATTCTTATATGAACAAGTACCTCAGTGAGGGCACTTACTGCATCAAGTGCCATGTCATAAACGTTATCTTTCGAAAATAGCTGAGAAAATAAGTTACAATAAACCCCTTGCCCGTTTTCCAACCCTGTCATTAGACTCGCATAGAAAATAAAGAAAGTAAATGCAATTAATGTGTTTGTTTAGTGACCTACTTTGCCGTATTGCTCTTTCTGAGATCGGTTCTTATCGTGAACAGGAACAATGAACAGATGCTACTGATGTATTTTAGGTTTGCATGCTCGCGTTATATATTCAGATGTAATCAGCTTTTGTACGGAACGGGTCCTTTTTGGAAATACAGTAAATCACTTTCAAAGGAGTTGGATTTATTACTCATTCTCAACACATATGGCAGACGCCAATAGAGGGAGCCAAAATCGTATGACATGAAATTAGTCCTCGTTGACTTTATTTGTGAAGTCAACGATACTGGAAAAACCGAAAGCTATGACGGTAGTGTTCTCTTAAAGGCACTGTTTCGTGTAAGAGAAAATGAATCGGACTCTTCCATTTGAACAAGGATTCTTGCCATTGTTAAATCTAGATTTCCTTCGTTTAACGAAACTGTTCTGTACGCCTCCAGACAGCAGAATAGTTTTAAATTTAAGTCCTTGTCAAACATTAGACAGTAAAGCAGTGTACACCCTTAAATCAAAGTCAACAAACAATTTGTACATTATGTTGTCCGCTCCAGCACCTGACAGGCCTCCACCAGATGGTGACGAGGAGGAGGAAGATGAGCACGAAAGTGAGGTGAGGTTTTTCTTTCCTTTGTAATATCTGTAGTCCAAACTGCTATTTTTTCGTCATTAATGATCTGATATTACCACTATAAGTTAAAGTTTTGAACAGTCACAGTTGTATTTACAAGGAACCAAAGAAACAAATGTAGTGTCAGTAAGCACATTTTCTGTGACTAGTCCCGTAATAAATCACTTTATTGTTTCAGTTGGTAGATTGCGCAACCAGAGATGGCGGCCTACTGCCCTTTTCGGCTTCTACGCCACGCTCATCGCAGTCTTCAGAAACATGCGACAGACAGGTGATTTACTTATTGTTATTGTTTTTTTTTCATATTTTGTTATTTTGTGTTTTGTATTTTTCACTTGCAATTTGAATGTCGTGTTTGAATATGAAGGTCAGATCGTAAAGTAGCAAATCACAACTTTATACATGCATCGCAACTTTGTACTTCCTTGCTATCACTGCACGGATACTGCATGAAAATGTCTAGGTATCGTGTATGTGCCGTTTGTGTGGGTTTCAGTTTTTTGAAGATTGGCGATTTTTTTGTGTTTTACGAGAACTACTTTTTTGCGATTATGACAGATTTGTTCTTATTTTTGGAGGTTAATTTTTGCACGTTTTCAGAAGGCCCTTTATAATTCTTGGAATTTTTCCTTTTTAATTTAGTACCTGCAAAGTGAAATACTACGCAATAGTACTGTGTGCGTACCCTGTGTAAATCTAGTGAAACAGCTAATACACGATTTCTCAGTACAGTGGAAGTCCACAGTACAAGCTAAGTAATCAATCACAGTAACTTTATTTTTTTGTTAGAATTTTTAATTTTCTTACTTTTTTCTTAACTCCCAGTTTCGAAGAACATATCTGCGCTCTGTTGCGTCAACAAGTGGTTCGGCACAAAATCAAGTAGAAGACATTGAAGGAGAAGTTTCCAATGATGACGATAGCTGTATCGCTAAGGTGCAGTTTCATAATTATGTTATCTTTAGCGATTACATAAGTTAACACAAATGAGTTACCTATGAGCGTTTAAACAGATGGTGACAAAAGGGGTACGGGGATGTGGTATGAACTGGTCAGTCAAAGAGTCTAAAGTAACTTTCTAAGTCACTACCCAAAATGTTTGCTTAAGAGTCACTTCTCGAATAAGCGCCGTTCATAAATAAGCTCTAATTTGGATATTTACAAATTAGCGCCCCACCTTCGTTACGGCGCATGATATAAAGAGATATCAAAACCATATCACTTGAGAAATAAGACCTCAACCAACTCGTGAGATCAAAAGTTTTGATGCCCGAGGGAAACTCTTGAAATCGGGTTCATATCTCTCTTCAAGATTTACATAGTTATTATACAAAATTGCGAACAGCTAGTAGGCCCCTCAATTAATTATCTCTATATTCCTATCAGTGTTTTCCCCTTAGTTGAAATAAGCGTCGCCCTCGTATAAGCTCCGCACCTATAACAGGGAGAATGAAATAGGCACCGCGTTGTTTAATCGATCATTTACGGTGACCTGTGACCTGTAATAATTTTTTGTGTGTGTGATACGACTTTCCGTTGTCTTTTGAGTCACTTAAAACCGACTACGGTTGTCACTCATTAAAATTTTTTTATTGTATTAAAGCTTTTTCCACATTGTTTTAAAACTTTTTTTGCAGCCTTTTTGTGGTCATGATGATGTGCAATTAAAAAACAGTGACAATTACAAAGGAATAGGTAATTCCCCCACATGTAAAACCCCAAGGCCCGGTTGAGACGTCGATCTTTTCATGAGCCGAGCCTAATACATTGAATTAAGCACATGAAAGGTTCGGCGACTGAATCAATTAGGAATGCCTTTTTTAATTTGGAACGGCTAAGCTGGCCGGAATTTCGACTGTGGAGCGACTTTGGTACAGCAAACTTTTCCGTGCACTGAACCTAATGCATAAATTAGCAGTTCGACCAAAATAAGCATTTTCCCCCTTTTCAATTTAGTTCGGCTGGAATTAAGATGGGCGTCAATTTGAGTCAATTCAGGCGGTCTAAATAGTGTGGGTCGGCCTTGATTTGAATAAGGTTCCGCTCATGAAAAGTTCAGGCCCAAGACGGGAATAGGTCAATCGAATTGGTATGAACTCCACACTCTCAATCATCAGTGGGTTATTTATTTTATTCTATAAATTATTATTCTATTATATAAAATATAAGATATTCAAACATTTCCTTGTCAGTTGTAAATATGTTACAGGAAGAGAGCCAGAGAGGATAACAATTCATTATTATGTAACACCAATGAAACACCGGCGGAATTTTCGCCGTGAATTTTTGCTGTGGCTGCATAATAATTTATTAATCGCTCCTTTTGCAGCAAAAAACTATTGAAGTGAAATCCGGTGGATAACGCCAGGACAGTGAAATAGTTTAATCCGCAACTGTAAATACCGATAAGATACCTAGATTTTATCCCTGGAGATAAAAAGGCCAATATGTGTGTGCGTGCAATTTATACGGCAGGTTTCTACAACCCAGATGGAAAGTACTGCAGTATTACAGCATCCCTCAGTCTTATGCAATATATCAAACCTTTCACCGAATTAGTGGCATCAAGAAGGGGGGAAATTGGGAAGAACCTTAACGAGGTAAAAATGTTTTCTTAGCTTAACACAACGAACTCTCTTTTCTGGTCTGAACAGAATTTTTTTGTCAAAAGGCCACACTGATTCGAGGCAGCGAAGGTCCAATTCGGTTCGTAGCCGCCAAAAGTTAGATGGCTGTACGAATAAATACATAAGTGATCAAGGTTTTGTTTTTTATTCTATCAGAAAGTAATGTAGTCCCACAAGGTTTACCACATAAGAATGCTGCAGCCCCTGAGGTTGTAACACTGTCTCGTTAATACGACCCAGTTTTGATGGACCATTTTCAGTTACTGCCTGATATATTTAGATACCCTACTTTGAGGCAAATTAGACGAGGTGTCAAGGCCAGGGGGAACCGTACATTCTCCCTTCATGCCAAAGGCTGTTACTTTGTAAAACTGGAATGTGTATTTTTTTTTCAAATCAATTAAACTGTGTTTTCAATGATGTTCTTTACGTTCTTCATTTAGTATGACTCGTTAGTAATACATTGATCGTTTGTTTTTGATCCCTAAGATATATCAACTAAGGGGACTTAAAGACAAACGTATCCTGAAGCTTCTTGATAGATTGAGAGTTCATCTATGCCTTCCAGTCGATGAAGATATTGATGCCAACGAGTTCATGCACAAACTTTTGGAAAAAATGTTACAAGATAAAGTACAATTATTATTAAAAGAAGATTGCTGCAAGTAATTTGCCAATAATCCCAAAGCTGCTCATCTCTAGGTCTCTGCGAAATAAAAGTTAGTTATGTATTAGTTGTGCAGGTTTTGCTACGGGGGAAAGCCAGGGCCATCTATCCCCTTATAAACAAGCGATGACCGTCAAATGCAAAGTATTGCAATATTCAAACTTATCTGGTGTCGTGCTTTTGATGTATTTCAACGGTGGTTTTTAAAACTTGTAGATACCTAAGGACAAAATTTTTCCGAGCACAAGGAAGTATAAGAGTTAATTTTTTGTTTCATTTCAGGATGTCCCACAACGGATCTTTTGCAGCACGAGGAAAGAAAAGCTTGCCCTCAATTCTTCGGGCACGCATGAAATACTGCTGCAGTGTTTCAATGATAAAGGTACGCACTATGGTCTGTAGAGCTTTTCACTGTCTGTCTTTCCTATACAGCGGAATTCCCATTGATATGACCACTAATTATAAAGGGCCAAAAAAAAAAATAATAATTTCATGACTTGAGGTCTGTAATGAAATAAACACAAGGAATACACCGTACCGCTCTCTAATAAACAGCCGGAGTGTAGAGATAGTTACTGACAATAATTGAAAAACCCTTTTTAAAATTTGCCACAAGTGCATTTTAAGTGTTGTTTATATAATTTTACATTTCCTATCCATTGTTATTTTCTAAATCTCAAACGAGTGGCCGTATTAATGGCTGAAATCAGTTATAAGGGATTCTACTGCTAGGGATTATAAAATGTGGCCGTTGGCCGTATTGACAGGTGACCGCTTTAACGGTTTTTTTCTGAGGAAATGTATGGCCGGTTGGATCTGTTTTCCCGAGCGGAAAAAAACTTCCATATGCTTCCCACAATAACAAGGTCACGGTATTATTGAGGTGTTCGTTTTGATGGTCTCTGTAGCTAGCGACTTCTCAGTCAATAGTTCATCCAAATATCCACGCAAATAATGACAGTTATTAACCTGTTTCTTAGGAAATGGTGGTGATGATCTTGATGAGGGTAACTCCCCTACAACTTTGCTCAGCCTTCCAACCACAGCAACTAATGGAGTAATGTCACTAAGCGACTTACTCTACACCAAATTAAATGAAACGTGCATGCCTGTACCATTTAGTGAGTGGGAAAGTGATTGGAAGGAGAAGTACCAAGGTCAGCAACATGCCACTTAAAATTATGTGAAAATTCATGTGACTATATTGAGCATGTTTTAACAAGAATGCCACTCTATGTTTTCAGGAAATGAAGACAAGCAGTTTTTTTGCTATAAGACCATCGTTTATGATTTGCGTGCCGAAAGTCGCTATATTGGGATTACAGAGAGGAAAAAAAGACACGCTCCAAAAGGTTTTTATTGATAATCTTTAACGCTTTACACCATTAGTTATTTCTATAACATTTTCCACGTATCAGTTTATTGGTGGTCTCTGATTTGTTATAAACAGGACAATCGACCAATCGAGATACCAAAGCATATTCCTATGGCGGATTTTACAAATCCAGAGGACGAAGGCGTTCACTCAGTGGATTGTGAACGTGGAACGCTCGTGTTACATGGCATGATCGTGCACTCAGAAGTAAGAAACCATCAATACGCGATGATTGCAATGCGGCAATCTACTTGGTAAGGAGAACAAACATTGATGTCTGCTTTATATACTTTGGTTTAGAACACCATAGCCTGGCGCGGTTATTTTTAATTTCAGCATACATTGCATGAGGTGTATAGGATCTGGAGGCGGGACACCTCTAAGTCATTAAAAGAACATGTTAAAGGAAGTTCCTGTCTAAATATGATCACCATCAGAGAGAATGAACTCTCTTAAGATTAGGAAAATTTTTGTCAGTAACTTCCTGATTTTATCTTTCGTAGTTAAGCATTGGGTATGATGGTTAACGTTTCCCTTTCATAAGTACAGCTCTCCAAAACTAGTCTACTGATATTCATCAGCAGACCGCATTGAAAAACCTAAAGAATTTTTAATTTGTTGATGCTACATCATAACAGCTTAAAGTCGGGCTCATTTGATTTTATAGGATTGTGCACGATGGCCTTAATACGTATGAAGTAGAATTGACA